CCCTTGGCAGTGGCACACTCAGGAACTTCTTCCTGAAGTCAATTCTGGCTACTTATTCCTCTCAAAAAGTCTGAATCCAAGCTGAAACCAAGGATATGTTCTTCTAATCACCACCTGCCACTAAGCTGCAGATCTCTTAGTGCAGTGCCGGAACAACATCAGATACTCTTCCGTGGAACGCTTGGGCACTTTTGCAGACATCAAGGGAAGTGCCATCACCTGGTCTTTAGGCAAAACGATATCTGGGAACCTCAATTCTGGGAAGTAAACCTGCAGCCAGATCTGGATCATCCAGAATATGCCAGGAGCAGAAAGGTTCAAGGGATTCTCCAGAGCAGCGGTGTGCAGATTCTTGTATAGATGGGCCAGAACTGTTGGACCAAGCCCCACATTAGCCACTATACAATCTGTCCCTATACAATTTGTCCCTATCCAATCTGCCCCTATACAATCTGTCCCTCTCCAGCCAGTTCAACCCATTCACCTAATGCAGACTCGATCTAAAAGTGGAATATACAAACCTAAGGCCTACACTGCTACTAAACATCCTCTGCCCAATTCAATTCTTCCTACAGATTTAGACTTTGTTTCCACAACCTATCTTCAAGCCTCTAAGTTTGCTCATTGGAGACAAGCCATGCAAGAAGAGTTTAATGCTCTCCAACTCACGGGTACTTGGAGTTTAACACCCTCTTGTCCTTAACAGAATCTTGTAGGCTGCAAGTGGGTTTTTCTAATGAAACGAAAACTCGATGGTTCTGTGGATAGATATAAGGCTCGCCTTATTGCAAAAGGTTATCATTAGCAAGAAGGTGTGGATTTTGGTGAAACATTCAGCCCTGTGGCCAACTTGTCACCATTAGACTTTTGCTTACCCTGCCAGTTCATCATAATTGGTTCCTTAATCAATTGGATGTAAGTAATGCTTTTCTCCATGGTTTTCTTAAGGAAGTTGTCTATATGGAGCAACCCCAAGGCTTTGTGGATTCTTCAAAACCTACTCATGTCTGTCAGCCCCATCGTTCTCTTTATGGTCTAAAGCAAGCTCCACAAGCTTGGTATGAGAAATTGCATTTAGCACTTCTTTCTCTTGGTTTCAGCGCTTCACAGTCTGACACCTCTCTTTTTATCAAATGAGTTCCTTCTTTGGTTATTGTTTTAGTATATGTGGATGATATTATAATCAAAGGTCCTTCTACTTTAGACTGTACCTCTATTATTACTCAGTTGGGTGCCCTATTTCCAGTCAAGGATTTGGGTCCTCTTCATTATTTTATCGGTCTTGAGGTTTAGAGATCATTCATTGGTTTATTTCTTTCTCAAGCCAAATATGCCACTGACCTTCTCACCAAGGTGGAAATGACTAGTGCTAAACCTTGTGCCACTCTTGTTGGTTCTATAAAATTGGATCACAGTGGTGATCTCTTGCCTAATCCTGCTAAATATCGATCTCTCATAATCTATCCCGAGCTAGGTCTCACGTGCCAGTATCTTACTTGGACTAGGCCTGATCTCTCATATGCAGCCAACCAAGTGTGTCAGTTTATGCATACTCCAAGAGACCCTCATTTACAAGCAGTAAAAAGAATTCTGAGATACCTTAAAGGCAATCAGCCATGGTCTTTTTATTCAAAAGCAAGCTTCTAATGTTCTCTCTCTGCAAGCCTACTCTGAAGCAGATTGGGGAGGTTGCCCTTATGATCGACAATCTACTGGAGGTTATTGCATCTTTCTAGGATCTACTCTCATCAGTTGGAGTGCAAAGAAACAATCATATGTGGCAAGATCCTCAACAGAAGCTGAGTACAGATCACTCACTTTAACAGCCACTAAGCTTTCCTGGATTGCAAAGTTATTTGTAGATATTGGTTACAAACTTCCCTCTCTTCCAGTCTTATGGTGTGATAATATATCTGCCATAGCGCTATCAAAATAATCCTGTATTTCATTCTAGAACTAAACATTTTGAGCTAGATTTCCACTACATTAGAGAACAGGTTCTCAATCAAAAATTGACTGTGAAGTATGTTTGTAGTCAAAACCAAATTGCTGACATTCACACCAAGTCTTTGAGCAAGCAACTTTTCCTCTTGCTCAGGTCCAAGCTTTCACTTCAGTCCCCTCCATTCAGCTTGAGGGGGTGTAAAGAGACCTCTCTAAAAGGAGTCAAACAAGTCAAAGTTAGTTAGAAAATTAATACTGCTGTTAAGTCTCGGTTTAGACAGCTGCAGTTTTGATAAGATCTGTTAGAATATTGTTCGAGCACGACTCTTGTACAGTAAGCAAAGTCAGGTTGTAGTTTTTATGAAACGACCTGACCCAAATTCCACTTTGGAATCCGGGTCGAATCCTGTGCAAAACTGACACCTACTGCCTGTGGGTCGTAAATGACCAAAATGCCCTGGAAGCGATAACACAAACTCTGGGGCCCTATCTCGTGGCTGGGCCTGGTAACTGTAGGTTGCC